GTGTGTGTGTGTGTGTGTGTGTGTGTTTGTATGTGTGTGTGTGTGTGTAGCATCCTCTGCCCTGCACACAGCCTATAGTTGCACTACAGGCTCTTGACACATTCCTGTGAGTATGTCCTGGGCTTGACCCCGGTGCCAGGTGGATCACATGCCCACCCCCAGAAAAGGTGCTTGTGGGTGAGGAGGTCCTGGGTCCAGGGTTTCTCCCAGCATTAAGCTTCTGTAGTACACGTTATACCTTATTCCACCTATCAAGGATGTGATTCCGAGGAATTAAATATACTGTGTCACCATGATTAAAGTAGACCTGTTGTTCCAGAAACAGCCATTCACCATATTGTTCGTTATTATTCTATTTCAAGATGAGGAGGTTTTCAGTGACATTCCTCGTGGGGCCAGGAGAAGGTGGTTCCGCCATTCCCTTTGCTCTGCCCTCCACGTTTGTGGAGGGAAGCCCTGGAGACCCTGTGCTGCATGTCCGGCCGCCCAAAGCCCTCCCTGCAAGAGCGGGCCCAACCCCAAGACCTCATCACACTGGAGAGCCCACTGGATAGCACACTGTGACGGCTGAAATGTTCTGTCGGTGCTGTCTGGTGCAGGGGCCCCTGGCTATGGGTGCTCATGGAAATCCGTATTTTGTACTGCATTGTGCTTGATGAGAGGTGGAGCTGATGTGTGTGCCTGGGGAGGACGCTGAAATAGCTGCAAGGAATGACGCATGTAAAAGAATAGCTTCTCAAGAAGGGATAGCTATTTATTTCCAAGGAGCTTTTAAAAACGCTTTTTGAAAGAAGAGTGAATTGTCATTTCGAAATAAACTGTAGCAGTATAAGTGCTTAGAGGCAATTAAACTTGCAGGTCTGAGTTTTATGTGATTTTCAGGTCATGGGGTTTGGTCTGTACTTGATGGATGGGAGTGTCAGCAACATCTATAAACTAGATGCCAAGAAAAGGATAAACTTATCCAAGATGGACAAGTACTTCAAGGTAAGTTGCGTTCTTTTAGATAAACGTTTTTATTGAAGTGTATACCACTTGAAATTTGGGAGATGAACCCCTATAACCATGACACATATCAGGAAATGGGGCATGCTGACTGGCAGCGCTCACACTCCTGTCTACAGAGGCGGCCTCTCTCCCTCCTGCTGTGCACCAGTGTTGCCTGGGTTTGAACCTTGTAGAAAGGGGATCAAGCCATGTCCTCTCTCGTGCATCTGGCCACTTTCACTCACTCTGTTTGTTAGAGTCATCCCTGTGGGAGCCTGTAGCTCTAGTCCTTAGGTTTTTATTGTGGTGGAGCAATTCTTGTTGTGATTAGACTGCAGTTTATTTATCCATTTTGTTGTGATGGACGTGAGATTGTTTCTGGGTTTTGGCTGCTGTGATTTAGTGCACGTCTGTGCTCGTTTCTGTTGGAATATAGCAGGTGGGGAGTGGTGGTTGAGGGTCCTGGTAGTAAATCCAGCCTGACGATTCTCCCACATGGTTGTGCAGATTTGTGTTCCTTCCAACAATGAACGAGCATTCCCATTGTTCCACATCCTCGGCAACACTTGGCACTGTCACTTTTTGAGGGGAAGGGGCATCCTGAAGGGTATGTCCATCCTTATGATTTCCTCAGTAGCATGTCCTGCAGTTTAGTCGCTGTTTCCTTGGTGACTTTTCATGCTGTTAGCCTTTTGTGTGTTCTCTCTGGTGAAGTGTCACTTCAAGTCTCTAGTTCTTTTTTCCCTGTTGATTTGTAGTCTGTGTATTCTGGGTCCATGTCCTTTGTTGGATACATGTGTTCTAAAATACATGCCTTCTCCCCTATGTGGCTCTCCTTTTCACTTTCTTAAAGGTGTCATTTGGTAAACTTCTGTTCAATATTTAGTGTAGTCCAATGTATCGATCTTTAATGTCCACTTTAGGAAATCTTTGTATACAGCAGGCTCATGAGAATTTTCTTCTGTGTTACCTCCTAGACGTGTCACCATTTCCTTTTCCATCTAGATCTGTAATCCCCTTGAAAGTTTCCTCTGTGCATGCTGTGAGGTAGCGGGTTGACATTCTTGGATATTTTCCTCCCCGTTATACATATCCAATTGACCCTGTCCATTTATTGCAAAGACTATCTTTTCTCCCGTTGCCCTGCCGTGTTACTTGGGTCATAAAGCAGGTGTCTGCATGTGTGTGACTGTCTTAGCTTCTCTGTCTTTCTCCACTGGTTTCCATCTGTGCTCCAGGGCCACGCTGTCTTAGTTTTCCAAAAGAATAGGTCTGCATATCAAGAAGTCTTCAAGTTATGTTAAGATTGCCTTGGGTATCATCCCTTCACCTCTCGACATACATCTTAGAATTGGCTTGCTGATTTTCACAAGCACACAGACACACACTACTTATAGCCTGGTTTTCCTCTTGGAATATTGTTTGGAATTCCATTGAATCTATAGATCAATTTAGTGAGAATGGACATTTAAAAAATACCAAGTCTTCCAATACATCAACCTGATATATTTCTTCATTCACTTAGAATTTTAAATTTTCTCTAGAATTTGTGGTGGTATTTTTGCTTAGAAGTCTTGTACATATTTTGTTCGTGTATTCATACATATTTTTTTGATGCTATTGGAAGTTGTTCCCCTTTAAATTTTCTTTCTTTCTTTCTTTCTTGTTTTTTTTTGTTGTGGAAGATTAGCCCTGAGCTAACTGCTGCCAATCCTCCTCTTTTTGCTGAGGAAGACTGGCCCTGAGCTAACATCTGTGCCCATCTTCCTTACGTTATATGTGGGACGCCTGCCACAGCATGGCATGCCAAGCGGTGCCGTGTCCGCACCCGGGATCTGAACTGGCGAACCCCGGGCCGCCGAAGCAGAACGTGCGCACTTAACCGCTGTGCCACCAGGCCGGCCCCTCATTTTCTAATTGTTGCTTGCATATAGAAATGCAGTTGATTTTTTTGTAACTATAGATCTAGCAAAAGGTAGGTTAATTTTAATATTTGAATTGGTTTTATGAATGTTGGTTCTTAATTTGTATTTTGTCCCGAAAGCGCATGTAGAAGTTATTTACAACCTTTTTGCAGTAAATGATTTGCAGAAATAGCATTCAATGCATAGTAATTATTACTATTACTCATTCTTCTTGTGTTTATGTATTTGGTGACTAAACGTACATAATGACCCTGTTTTTTTTGTTCTTTGAATACAGCAGCTCCAGGTGGTTCCACTGTTTGGGGACATGCAAATAGAACTGGCAAGATACATCAAGACCAGCACGCACTATGAGGAAAATAAATCTCGGTAGGACGAGCTGCCCATTAGAGCATTCTGCTGTGGCCTCACTGTCGTTTAATAACTCTAGTCATTTATCTGAGATAACACCTTTGCCATTCTCAACTCTCTGGAACTGAATGCCTAATGTGGTAGCCCTTGCCACGTGTGGCTGTTTACCTTTAAATTCATTAAAAAATGCAATTTATTTTCTTAGTGGACTAGCCATTCAAATATTTAATAGTTCGTGGCTACTGTATTGGTGAGCACAGATACAGAACTTTTCCATCATCCCAGAGAATTCTTTTGGATAGTGCTGGTTGAGAATGTAGACTTGTTAACAAATGCTCTGGGCCTTGTGGTCTGCTGGTCACTTCTTAACAAGCAGCCCTGTTTGTGGGTGGGATGTTTGCGTGTATCTTACAGAGGGTACAAGCCTGTAACCTGCCGACCAAATCCAGCCCAGGCCTGTTTTTGGAAAGTCTTTGTTGCTGAGAACGATCTTTACATTTTAAAAGGGTTGTTTTTAAAATAAGACAATGATGACTATGTGACAGATGTGACAGAGACAGTGTAGCCCACAAATCCTAGAGTATTTACTTTCTGGTCTTATCTAGAGAAAGGTGGCCAACCCTGCCGTATAGGATCTGTAGCTCACAGTTAAGGTATTATTGTAGATTCCACATAGGCGGGTGAGTCTCATAGGATGCTTTTGCTGACTTTTGTCAGAAGCATGCACCCATAGCCAAACTGGCCGAAGTTCAACCATGATTTTGAAAAACACAGTTGCATCTCAATCTGTTCACTCTGAGGCTGGCAGTCTTTTTCTTTAAAGGCCAAATAGTAAACACGTTAGGCTTCAGGGGCCACATGTGGTCTCTGTCTCATATTCTCCTTTGTTTTTTTTTCTTTTCTTTTTTATCTTATTAAGCAGGTTTTTAAAAATGTAAAAACCATTTGTACGGCCCTAGACCCATACAATAGCTGACCGCATTTGACCTGTGCTGTAGTTTGCCGACCTCTGTGCTAGTTTATTTCCAAATATATTTGCCATTAAATCTGCTATGTGATCCACTCTTAGATGACTTCTCACTCTCCTCTATGTTAAGTTCATTAAGCTGAAACTTCTTTGTGCTTCAGTACCACCTCAAACTCTGATTTGGAACATGAGCTGATGTCCATGGTGTGAATGTCCGGCTGTGACTGAGTTCAGGCTGACAGCGTGACATTCATTACACAATGCTTCTGCCCTAACAGATAGGGGTTAGCTCTAGATCATAAGTAATGGGAAAGTCTTATCAGGAAACCATGAGTTTGTGCACTTATTGTCTGTTTTTAATATGATTTATTCTAAGTTTATAGCATTTAATTGGTAATAATGCCCATGTTTCACAGCTTCCTTGGGAGGTGCCTGAGCATATAGCAATCAGCTTTGGGAGCCTGGCCCAGGGGCCCCACACCAGCATCTGGCCCCAGAAAGGGCAGATGCAGAGTGTGCCAATGCCAGCAATCAGGCTCTGGGCTCCAGTGCCTTGCCTGAGGTGGATATGCTGTTGGGGGTCTGCAGGGGAGGCAAGTGTATTGAGAATGGATCCCAGTGCAGAGCCTGTGCCTTGCACGCTCATTGCAGACTTGAGGAGCTGCCTGGGATAATGCCAACATAATCATCCCATCATCCTGTAGTGGAATCAAAGAGAAAGAGGTACTACTTGAGACAGTGCACTGATCGTCTCAAAAAGTGGCAGCTTGCATTCCATCCCTTCACGAAAAGGAGACCAGCTTGTTGAAAACACAGAGAGAGTACTGGTGCTACATGTGAGGGGGCAGCCGTCTAAGTCCTAAGATCCATGCTTTCTGCCCAAGAGCACCAACAGTTTCAGTTCTTGATAAACTTCTTTCCCACTAAATTGTGTCTGTTTGCTGCTGAAATGGTGTGTTGTGCACATAGGTAGTTATGGTGACAGTGTCTAACTTCCAGGTGATGTCAGTTTTCAACTCTCCCCGTAAGGAGAAGTTTTGCTCCTGAGTCTTTGGCTGATTTGTTTCTGTACTATAGCTTATATTTTCCCACATGAGTAATAAAGAAATAGTTCCTGGCAACTCTGCAATAATACGTCAAGAGATCCTCGCAAGGGTGATGCATTGTCGTAGATCCAGCAGCGTCTCTCAGCGTTCTAGAAAATGGTTTATTGATCATAGAGAAATTACAATTCCTTTTCCAAAACACAGATATGAGAAGGTAGGGCAGTGACCCTGACACAGGGAGAGGGGGCTGGGCCAGCTCTGTTTCCTTGCTGAGAATTCCATATTGTTTCCTAGCCTCCAGCTCCTCTCCCACGCTATGCATGTGTCCTTGGGCACCCAGCGTTGTGCTGCATAAGCCTTGTGCAAGTGCCCTCAGGTGACACACGTTTCCCCTTCACTGCAGATGGACGTGCACATCTTCCAGTAGCAGCCCGCAGTACAACATCTGTGAGCAGATGATCCAGATCCGGGAGGACCACATGCGCTTCATCTCAGAGCTGGCACGCTATAGCAACAGTGAGGTGAGTGGGCCTTCTGCGCCCGCCCGCACTGACACCTGAGGACAGATGGCCCTAGAATGTCATCTGTGTTCTCTGCAACCGAAAACTGACGTTAATTGCTTTGAGAAGCATGGTTGAGTACGAATACTTAAAAAGCACTCGTTATAATGGATGGCAGTGCAGTGAGCATCGTTTTTATCTGTTCACCTGTAGATCTTTTTTCAGAAAAATGTAATAGAGGTCCCAAAAGAAAGGACTGAGGAAAGACCCTGAATTAAGTCTGTTTCCTAGTCTAGTCTTGTTTCCAAGCTGCTAGAAGAGAGAGGGTAGGGCCTCAGGAAAGGAGTGATTATGGCTTGTGGCCGTTTCGTGCCTAGAGGCAGGAAGTCCTGAAGGCAGAGGCGTGTAGGAGCTGCTGGGTCGGTGGGAGGACGTCCTGGCGCCCAGGGGAGGGCCTGGAGTTGGGTGTAGGAGGAAGCGCTATCTCCTCGGCTTCAGGCCTTGTTAATTCCTTTCGGCTTTGCAGCTGGGTTTCCTGTGTCCTTGTTTGGGCTGATCACGTTATCCCCACCTGTCAAGTGTGACTCCAAGCTAGCCCTGCCAGTATGTGGGGTGTGCTGGAGGGGTGTGTGAGTGTGGAGGAGCATTGGGAATGGCACTTCTCATATCTTAGCAGACAAGGCAGCAAGGTCAAAGCAGTGGTCAGTGGTATGGGTTCTGCAAATAGTCAAGAAGAACCCGGGGACTTGGGGCCACAGACACAGGTCTGGTTTGTGAGACTGTGGTACCTCAGGGTTCTCAGGAGGACCATTAACATTTGTGGGGAACAGCTCTGTGCGTTGGCCCCACCCATTGCAGGATGATGAGCACCCCTGCCCCCACCCACCAAACGCTAGTCGTCATACAACTAGAATGACTGAAAGACAGCCCAGATGTCTTAGGGCATGTGCTGCCTCCAGCAGACCCCTGGTAGGTGGCCGACTCCCTAGTGAGGAGGCTTTACTTCACCCCTTCTCCAGCGGCCAGCGCAGCCCTTAGGGTAGAGATGGGGAGCAGCCCCTTGAGACTTCATGATGTAGTTGTAAACCGAGTTCATGGGAAGCTCTCAACAACACGTAGAGCTGATTTTTACTCCAAATAAGAGCATCTAACAGCATGCATGGTTCCTGTCATCTTCCTTTTGCTGTTGAGTGTAGTACCTTCAGGATAAGATGATGATTTTAACAAGAAGAAAGAGATCGACCTTTGAATGCTTTACTCAGTTTGTTTGTTTATTTATTTGCTGAGGAAGATTCGCCCTGAGCTAACATCCGTGCCAATCTTCCTCTAATTTTTAGTATGTGGGCTGTCAGCACAGCATGGTGACTAACAGAAAAATATAGGTCCAAGCCCAGGAACCAAACCTGGGCCACTGAAGTGGAGAGCACTGAACTTAAGCACTAGGCCACCAGCAACTTTGGTTGTTTCGTGTCTTGGCTATTGTGAATAATGATGCAATGAACCCAGGGTTGTAGAGTCAGTTGGTTTTTGATGAGGGTATACTCAGTGGGGAACAAATAATGCTGGGGAAACTGGGAATCCACATAGAAAAGAATGAAGTTGGACCCTTTCCTCATACCATACAAAAAATGCAACTCAAAATTGATCATAAAACTAATTGTAAGAGCTAAAACTACCAAACTTTTTAGATTCCACGTATTAGTGAGACTGTACAGTATTCGTCTTTCTCTGTCTGACTTATTTCACTTAGCCCAATACCCTCAGGGTTCATCCACGTTGTTACAAATGGGAGGATTGCCTTGTTTTTTTCGTTTGAGGAAGATTAGTCCTGAGCTAACATCTGCCACCAGTCTTCCTGTTTTTGCTGAGGAAGATTGGCTCTGAGCTATATCCATGCCCATCTTCCTCTACTTTATATGTGGGACGCCTGCCACAGCATGGCTTGCCAAGTGGTGCGTAGGTCCGCACCCGGGATCCGAACCTGTAAACCCCACGCCGCTGAAACAGAACGTGCAAACTAAACCGCTGTGCCACTGGGCTGGCCCAGGATTTCCTTCTTTTTTATGGTTGAATAATATTCCACTGTGTATACAAGTATATGTATATACATACACACACACTATTTTTCCAAATTTGTTTGCCTCAGGATCCAAATTAAGTTCCAGACACTGCAGTTTGTTGATGTGTCTCCTCGGAGATGTGTCCCCCTCCGTCTCTCTCCCTCTCTGGGGCATCATTTGCCATGACTTCTGCGCCGTGTTTCCTGTACATTGGTAGTTAGATCTGGAGACCTGATCAGACTCAGCTTCCCTTCTCTCAGCCCACTCGGCCCTTCGTCGGCCATGCCGCAAACCGCTGGAATGTCTGGCTGACTCTGTGATGCGGGCAGCGTTGTCTGCTGCCTAGCTGCGTGCACCTGTAAGGGTGATACTCTAGTTCTGCCCTCCTCCTCAGCCCTCATACCAGCTGTGCCTTACTCTGTGGGATCCCTCCTCCAGAAGAGACAAGGTCACAGCTGGATTCCTTTGCTTTACGTATCAATTGTTAAAAATAATTGATTCCCTAGCATCATCTAAGGTAACAAATCAAGGGTTTTTTTAGTACTGTGTTGAAGTCAATCTACTTCAGTTTTTTTCTTTTTCTTTTTTTCCCATACTGGTTCTTAATGACTCCTGCAAATTTTGACTTGATGTCTCAAGATACACTCAGCAATTTTAAAATAGCAATACTGGCACTGCTAATAATCATATAATTACTAGAAACAACATAGTTGTATATTGTAATGTATAACTTTATGTTATATTATAATAACAATGCAATTACCAAAAATTGTTTAAGATTTATTTTGCAGTGGATTTTGTCCTTAGATTTCTCCCTCTGGGTTGTTCACTCACTGTCTTTCAAAGTCGCTTGAAGTGTTTTGTTTTGTGTTGGTCTCAGCCTATTGGTAGTGATGCTGAGACACTCTCTTGGAACTGTGCTACTTGTGGCAGCCTGAGGGTAGAAAGAGAGCATGCATGTGGGCCTGGGGTTCTGCTTTTATTGGAGTTGAGGGTAGGGGCGTAGTGTTTCATGGGCTCACTCTTTATTGGTGAATTTAAAACGTAAGAGTGGGAATGTAAAGCGTGGGAAGAGAAAAAACAAGTGGCCCAAATGGTCACTTATGGAAATCAACTAAGATCTCTAAAGCAAAGGAGCCTTAGGGAGGCAGGTGGCCTCGCTCTTTATCTGGTCATGTGGCTGGCAGTGTGTCTGTTGAGACAGCTATCTTTGAAGTGGATGCCACACAATCAAAGCTTATGTGAGGCACTTGCATTACAAAAAAGAAAGACTAACTGTCAGCGCTTCCAGTCCCCTGGGTCACCCAGGGCTCTCTAAAAGGGGAACTTCATGGGTGGAGCAGCCTGGCTCTTTATCTAGTTGTGTAGCTGGCAGTGTGTTTATTTGAGATGGATGTCTTTGAAATGGATCCCTTGGCAATCAAAAGGTTAATGTCAGGCACTTACATTATAATCAAAAAAAGCCAATTATCAGACACTTATGCTATATGGCCCCACTGTGCGGCCATGATGCCAACTTATTACACAGTTCAGTTCATTGTTTCATTTTGCTTTTGAGTTTCAGGGAGCCCTTCCCCCCCCAATTTAATGTTATGTCATAGTATATACCGTTTATGTGGTTCCCAAGTCAGATGTCTCAAAGGAGGCATGCTCAGAGAAGCTGGCTTCCCCTCCACCCTGTGCCTCCCTGCCCTGTAGGTCACTATACTTAAATCTGTTTTTATTTGATATAAGCAAATACACAGGATGGTGCACGTTTTCCTTTATTTGGCAAGTGGAAACATACTGTGCACAGGCCTCTCTGAACACCATGCCCTGGAGGTTCATCCAGCACAGTCTACAGCATCTTTTCTCTTTGCTTTGAGAGCTACAGAGCATTCATCATTGGGGGCTCTGTGGATGCCAGCCTGTTGCTACAGGGAAGGCTTGTGTGCCCACATCATTTCATATTTTAGAATGTACCTTTAGAGTAGGTTCCTAGAGTGGGTTTGATGGGTCACGGGGTAAATGCATAGGTGGTTTTTCTGCATGTGGGGTGTCTTCCTGATACTTCTGTTGTGCTCTAGGTTGTCACAGGGTCTGGCCGCCAGGAGGCTCAGAAGACAGATGCTGAGTCCCGGAAGCTCTTCGACTTGGCACTGCAGGGCCTGCAGTTGCTGTCTCAGTGGAGCGCCCATGTGATGGAAGTGGTAGGCATTCTGTGCTTGCTTTTATTTGGAAATGCAGGGAATTAAAAGAACATCAACCTCCAGCTGGTTAGAAGTGCTTTTGTTCCCAAGCTCCAAGAAATTGACTGATATTTGTTCTGCATTAACTTTGGTCTTTGGATCAAGAAAACATTGGCTTTTTAGCTTTGGCCTTAGAAATAAGAATATATATCAATTTAAATGTTTCTAAGATGACTCAACATACATTGCACGTATGTTATATATGTTACAAATAAAGGGCCTCATCTTTTAAAACCTTTTATAGAATTAAATTTAAGTACTGTTATGATGATTTTTAATTCTCTTTTATTTAAACGATGTTTTCTCTGTGGGGTTCTAGCCATCACTTTTTTTGTTTAGTATTAGTAAAATGGTTTCTGATGGCATATAAAGATTTGGATACCTATAAGTCATAGAAAGTTTTCTCTTTTGTTGTTTATTTTGATCAGACCAAAATTATATTGGATGAGTACATGATCATTTGAATAGCTAATTCTTTTTTTAAATGGTGATGAAATGCCTAGCGTGTTAGAGAGTTAAAATATCCAGGCCGTTTTGTCTGATGTATTTCTTAAACCTCTGGTCTGTTTCTTAAACCCAAAGTCGCATGGCCAGAATGTTTTGCACTCTTAGGGAGATGGACTCTGTGTGTGTCTGCGTGGTGTGTGTACGCATGTGTAGTGTGTGTGTGTGAGTGAGCGTGACTTTCAGACTCTGCAAATACTACAAGGCTGACCTTTCGGTAGCTTTGGTGAAGGTCACGTGAGTGAGACAAGCAGTTAAGCATTGTTCGTTCAGTGTGAATGTCTTCCTCCTTTCTGACCACACCAGTGTTCATGGACAACTATAGTGCACCCGACGGACAAGTACTCCAACAAGGACTGCCCTGACAACGCTGAGGAGTACGAGCGCGCCACCCGCTACAACTACACCAGTGAGGAGAAGTTCGCCCTCGTGGAGGTATGGTTTGTCTGCTTTCTCTTCCTCCTATGACTCTGGCCTCAAACTTCTTCCCTTTCAAAAGCAAAGGCAAAAATGTGAATAAAAATGCCCATTTTATGTCATTACTTTTATGTAGGGTAGCCCTTTGCATCTATCACAGTTCTCAGTACAGGATAAAGTAGGTTCTTGGTGTCTGCACTGACAGCTCCCCTGGGCAGATCAGGGGTTTGCTCGTGAGCATCTGGGAGGGGGAGCAGCTTTTGGTGTGGAATGCAAGAGGACACGACATGACCCTGGCAGTCTGAGAGAGAAGCGCCCCTCATCTCCTCCAGTGTTTCCAGCTGTTGAATCACCAGCTCTTTGCTCTCACACATGTCAGCTGTGGCTCCCTCAGTTATGCACTGTCTTCACGAGCCTTTTGATGAACAGAAGCTCTTACATTTCACTGCCACCCAGTTTCTTTTCTTTTGTAGTTGAACTTTGCCTGCCTTGTTTAAGAAATCTTTGCATGCTGTAAGGTCCTCAAGGTATTCTCCTCCATTGCCTTCTGGATGTTTTATTCTGCTTTCACATTTAGGTCTGAAATTCACCTGAAGTTAGTTTTTGAAACACTTC